ATTGATACATCTAAGCCAAGAATAAAGAAGCATTTCTGGAAAGTTTCTTCCTGTGTTCCTCTCCAGTCTTTCCTCCCAAATCTTTATTTCCAACAAAGTGGTATCAGAGCTAACTTTCCAGAGATGAATAGCACTTTTCCCTTTGTAGTTCCCAAACTTACAAAGGAGAATTATGGACATTGGTGTATCCGCATGAAGGCATTGCTTGGCTCACAGGAAGCATGGGAGGTTGTTGAGAAAGGCTATGATGAACTAGAGAATGAAGGACTCTTGAATCAAAATCAGAAGAATGCTTTGCAGAAGCTTCGAAAGCAAGATCAACATGCCCTCTCTATCATACACATGGGCTTGGATGAAGCTCTGTTTGAGAAAGTTGCTACTACTACAAAGGCTAAGGAAGCCTGGGGGATTCTTGAGAATAATTTCAAAGGAATTGACAAAGTGAAGAAGGTTCGCCTTCAGACTCTTCGTAGTGAGTTTGAATCTCTACATATGAAGGAGTCTGAATCTGTTTTCGACTATTTCACCAGAGTGTCTTCCATTGTCAATCAAATGAAGCGTTATGGAGAGAAGATTGAAGATGTACGTGTTGTGGAGAAGATTCTCAGGTCACTTGACTCAAAACTTGAGTTTGTGAGTGTTGCCATTGGAGAATCAAATGACCTGGATTCCATGACCCTCGATCAACTCATGGGGTCCTTGCAAGCATATGAAGAAAGACTTAAAAAGAAGCAAGAACCGATGGCCCAAGTTCTCCAAACTAAGGTCTCTTTGGGAGAACAAGAGCAAGAGCATGGACGATCTCAAGGAAGAGGTCAAAGTCGAGGTCGAGGCCGAGGTCGTGGTCGTGGTCGAGGAGGAAATTTTGGCCGTGGCCAAGGAAGAGGAAGAAATGAAGGCGGCCAAAATTTTAACAATGAAGGGTCGAGCAATCAACCACAAAGACGTGGATATTATGGTTCAAAGAGAGGAAGCGGAAGAAGGTATGACAAGTTCAATATACAATGTTATGCTTGTCACAAATATGGCCATTATGCCAACAAATGTAGAAGTTCCTCCACCAACAATGAGGAGAGGGCTAATTATGTTAAAGCAAAAGAAGAAGAAGAATTGTTGCTATTGATGGCAACTAAAGAAGAAAGAGATACCCGAGCATGGTACCTTGACACGGGTGCCGCTAATCACATGAGTGGCAACAAAGAGTTGTTCTCAACTCTTAATGAGGCAGTGAAAGGCAACATTATATTTGGAGATGATACCAAAATCCCAATCAAAGGCAAAGGTGATGTTCTCATCCACTCAAAAAATGGAAGTCACCTTTTAATTACTCAAGTTTATTATGTGCCTACTTTGAAATCTAACATTTTGAGCTTGGGACAATTACTTGAGATGGGGTATGACATTCATTTGAAGGATGGTTGTCTTACTTTGAGAGATGGTTCACACAACTTGGTTGCGAAAGTGCCTATGGAGAAGAATAGAATGTTTTTGCTGAATGTTCACGTGGATCATCCAAGAAGCTTGAAGACTTGTGTTGAAGAAGCTTCCTGGCTTTGGCACTTGAGACTGGGTCACTTGAACTTTGGTGGCTTGAAGGCTTTAGCAAGTGAAGAGATGGTGAATGGGTTGCCCAAAATTAACCACCCCAACCAGCTTTGTGAAGGATGTCTTTTTGGCAAGCAAGCTAGAAAAAGCTTTTCGAAGGAGGCCACTTTTAGAGCAACCAAGCCACTCCAACTGGTTCATGCAGATGTGTACGGACCAATCAAGCCATCATCATATGGTAAAGCTAATTATTTCTTGCTCTTCATTGATGATTTTTCTCGCAAGACTTGGGTTTATTTTTTGAAGGCAAAAAGTGAAGCTTTTGGAGCATTCCAAAAATTCAAAGCTCTTGTCGAGAAGGAGAGTGGTT